GTTGTTTTTGTTTCAGACACTTCAGATCATAGATAAAATGGATTGTTTCAAGAAGTGGCAAAAAGATATATCAAAATTTGTCTGGCAGGGCAAAAAGCCCAGAATAAACTTTAAGATTTTAACTGATGCAAAAGATAGAGGGGGGTTTGCCCTGCCGGACTTGAGACTCTATTATGAATCGGCAGCGTTTTGCTGGCTGAAACAATGGCTGCTTCTTGAAAATACAGACATTTTGGATCTGGAAGGGTATGACAATAGGTATGGCTGGCATGCGTATATATGGTATGACAAGGTAAAAATTCACAAAGGTTTTAAAAACCATATTGTTAGGAAAGCATTATATAATGTTTGGATAAGATATAAAGATCTATTAGAAAGTAAAACTCCCAGGTGGCTGTCACCAATGGAAGCTAAAGAGACGAAAAAACTTAATATGGAGTCCAAATGGCCAAAATACGGTGAAATTATAGAGCAAGATGGTGAAAGGCTCAAATTACAGAGTTATGATAAATTAAAGTCTAAAGTACGAGATTGGTTACATTACCTTCAGATAAACGAGGTATTTAAACAGGACAGGAAAATAGGTTTTCAGATGGAGAGGTCGAAATTAGAAACAGAATTGTTAGAACCCAATACTAAGAATTTGTCAAGAATGTATAATTTGCTGCTGAAATGGAACACACAAGATGAAACAGTAAAGTCAGCCATGATTAAATGGGCACAAGACATAGGCCATAACATTATGTTCGAAGACTGGGAAAGGTTGTGGAATACTGGTATTAGGTTCACGGCCTGTAACGTTTTGAGAGAAAATATAATGAAAATGATCTATAGATGGTATATGACCCCAGTCAAACTTGCAAAAATTTATCATTTGCCCAATAACAAATGTTGGAAATGTAATGAAAGTGAAGGTACCTTTTATCACCTTTGGTGGACCTGCCCGAGGATTAAGGCCTACTGGGAAATGATCTATAATGAAATCAAAAAGGTCCTTAAATGGACATTTCCTAAAAAGCCAGAGGCTTTTCTCCTGGGCATGGTGGGCCAATTGGTGTCAAAGAAGGACAGAACTTTTTTTATGTATGCTACCACAGCAGCAAGGATTCTTCTGGCAAAGTATTGGAAGACGCAGCAGCTACCCACTCTGGAAGAATGGCAAGCGAAGGTGATTGACTACATGGGAATGGCAGAGATGACCGGCAGAATCCGTGACCAGGGGAAGGAGACAGTGGAAGAAGACTGGAAGAAATTTAAAGTATACCTTAAAAACTGTTGTAAAATTCAAGAGTGTTGAGATGTTATAGTGTTAAGAAATAGAGAATTGCAGCTGTATATCATAAATTTAAAAGAGATATAATGAAGATGAATTAATAATGAAATGAAGGGTTGCTGTTAAAAGGAGAAAATAAGGATGCAGAAAAGGGAGGTATGGGGAAGTCCGGGAAATAAGGTAAAGGAGAAGGAGTTTATGAAATTGTATATGTTTATTTGTTTGTATGTTTTGTTGTGTTTTGTGGTTTGTTTATTTTATATGTCTGGAAAACTAATAAAAAATTTTATTAAAAAAAAAAACAGATGTCAAAGAAATAAACAGCTATCTGACTTTTAGAAGACATCTGAAGGTAGCCCTGTTTAGGGAAGTTTGATGTTTTATCATGTTTTTAATATTCTGTTGGGAGCTGCCCAGAGCGGCTGGGGAAACCCAGCCAGATGGGTGGGGTATAAATTATTATTATTATTATTATTATTATTATTATTATTATTATTAAACAGGTCTGTCAAGCAGGGCACATCTAACCTGTTGCCACAGCAACGGGTTGCCTTGTTCAGGCATACACAATTCCTCTTCCCCCAGTGCATTCCAGTAGTCATTTTAGCACACTCCCTTGGTGTCATCTGTCACAAGAGACGCTCACATGGAATGAAAGGACTTTTGGAAGTTTGGCCTCCTATAGATTCTGACAGGAACACAAATAGAGAAGCAAGTCGATAAATTATTGGTGGATCAGACTTTTCTGACCTTCAGTTCCTGCGACGGCAAAGGGGAGCATTGCAGTTGCCACCCTTCCATTGCTCCAAACTCTTCCTCCTGCAGACTTATTTTCATTTCCGGCTGCTCTGCTTTATTAAAAACATGCTTCTAATTTCCCAAATCCCTCCAGCACAGGATAAGGATGATACAAAAATCAAAATCAAAAAATTGAACACATCCATTCCAATTTCTATCTGATCTGAGACCTTAGCCTTGGTACAAATCTGCACCAGCATTTTAACCTAAGCGTCTGCTTTTGATCACACCTTCTGTTTAACTGGCACAATGCAGGTGAATGTAAAACTAAAAACTGGGGCACATGCGACTGAAGATCTTCTTAAAGCAGGCCAGATGAAGGCTTTTTATTAGATCAACTTCTATGGCTAGCAAAACAAAGAAATGAAAAATGCAAGCTTTTGAAGTTCAGTAGGCATATATCTATGCCTGCATTCTCTTTCACCAGCAGAACTTGCTCCACCACTGAATTTATTTGCCTCTCTTGTTTTCTGTAAAATAGCAATACGGCGCAACTTTCTGTAACTATTTCCATGTCTTAGGAAGGCATTCAGAAGGTGAAAAATAAGACAAGTGCTTACACTGCGTACACTGCTGTATCCTACACCTTGGAAAGGTAAGCTGAGAGTCACACGACTCATTTGGACAACCAGTTTGGATCATCAAGATAACTCTACTTTGAAGGCTGAAATCTTTTCGGAAACTGCTTTGAGGTTTGTTTGTTTTTACAATCAGCAGTATATGAATTTCATGAATGGATAAAATAAATTATCCTATGCACAGTTACCTGGGCATATGTTTAAGCCCCATTAAACATACTTGGGGCCTGTCTGCACTGTAGATTTAAAGCAGCATCATACCACCTTAAACAGTCAGGGCTTTCCCCCAAAGAATCCTGGGGACTGTAGTTTGTTAATGGGGGTTGAGAGTTGCTGGGAGAGACAGTTTCCAGAGTGTCTTAATGACCAATCCTACTTTCTAGGGCACTCTAGACTCGTAGCTCTAGGAGCAAATAGGGGATCTCCTAAGAACTCTCAGCAGCCTTGAAAAAAACCCCTACTTCTTAACAATTGTTTGAATTCAGTTTCTCATTTTTCAAATCCAGTTTACCACATTTCTGCATCAGTTTGCTATTTATTAATTAATTTAAAATTCTTCATGAAAATTCACCAGCATTTTGGTGAACATTTATCCTAAATATACACATTGTTGTATACCAGTTTGCCTAATTTGCACATTTTTGCGAGAATTTCCCCCTGATATAGTGCATTTTTCTACGCTATTTTGACTAACATATGCATCTTTTGACTAATATCTGCATCTTTAAGAACGCGCCCTCCTGATATGCACAATTATTTCGCACTTCTTTTAGTTAGAGAGCTGCATCACAAAATCCAGAGAAGTGCGGATTTTGAAGCCTGGCTGCATTTCAGTTCCCATACAGTTTCAGGCAAGGTGAATTACTGGGTTTCTGCCCTATCGCTCTGATCAGGAAGGAGCGGAAGGGAGTGGACCCAGACCGTGAGCTAGTAATGTGAAACTGTAGGGGATAGGCTACGTTGGGAGTGGTGGCCTCTAGTCCTTTGCCTTTCCCTCTATGAACATCTAAATTGGGTGCTCATAAGGCATGATGCCACCTGAATAGAGGCTCCACAAGTGAGAAAACCTGAACATGGTTCATGCGGCATCAAAAATCACTTGGATGCCATAGAGCGGGATATGTCAACATAGCCACAAGTGCCTGATAAACTATGCTAAGCAATTATAAGAGAATTCCAGAATTGTCAGTCGGTACCACTAGATGAATCACACACTTGCCTTGCACAGGATTCTGCTGCAGAGATTTCTTATTATATTTTTTTATGTCCCACCTTTTTTCCCTGGCTGGGACTCAACACAGCTTACAGATAAAATAAGAACAGCTAAAAACATAGATTTAAAAACTTACAAAAAAATAAAACATTAAGATAGAGAGATGAGAGGTGATAGATAGATAGATAGATAGATAGATAGATAGATATAGATAGATAGAGGTAGGTAGGTAGGTAGGGATAGATAGATGATGATAGATGATAGATGATAGATGATAGATATAGATATAGATATAGATATAGATATAGATAGATAGATAGATAGATGATAGATAGATAGATAGATAGATAGATGATAGATAGATAGATAGATAGATAGATGATAGATAGATAGATGATAGATAGATAGATAGATAGATAGATAGATAGATAGATAGATAGATAGATAGATAGATATGGCAACCATTTTACGCAGGGGTTCCACCCATGACCTCCCGGCATGTTGGTGGAGCATGCATAAGCCCCGCCCAGTTCCATTCTGCCCCATTTTCTAGTCAACAGCAACAAGTGTGTGCATGATCGTACGTCAATCAGACATGCATAAAATAGTCACTGGCACACACACACACACACACACACACGTAGAAGTACAGGATCCAGGTTTCTGAAAACAAGGCACTGGCAATGTTCTTAGTACTCTGTGTGCACTGACAACATGACAAATGACTTTGCTTTATACAGAAAAACTGTCAGCTGAAAATAGAACGGTTTCTCTGAGTGTGTATTTTTAAAATCTCTCTTTCTTTGGAAAACAAATTATATGATTAGGCCTTTTTTAAAAAAACAAAACAAAAAATCCATAGTTACAGTTCCACAAGAAACATCTCCATGCAATGTGCATTTTGATGCTCATTTCCATCTCTCTGAAGCAATGCTCACCCAAACGCCGCTGAACTGGCTGGATGATACAAATATGGATGGATAGGACCATATCAAAGGCTGTCTAAGGTTACATGAAACGTGTTGCCCACGACTACAACAGGGCTGCTCTCTTCCGCAGCAGCTTCTAACATTTGTTTTTAGCATAATCTCTCAGTGACCACAGAAAGGTGAAGCATATTTCAGTCACCGTCACCTACCTCTCCTCTAGTGCAAGGCATCACGTCAGAATACCTGGAGGTACAGAGAGACCCTTCCTCGGTGGTATCGTCTGGGAGCCCAAAAGTGGCCGTGCAGTTGGCAGAGAAATATTTGTACGGCCTCCACGTCTGCCCATAGTCCTGCGACCTCTCCAGCACCATGGCCGCTGGGCGAGGCGACTTGAACACCACTATGACGTGGGTCAGGTAGAACTCCGTCTCCAAATCCAGCCGGATCTCCTCCCTGTGCACCCCTTGCGCAGACTGCCACCAGGAGGCGGGGTTTAGGAAGAAGTCGTCCGTCATAGCGGAAGGAAGGTGAGAGTTATCAGGCTGGTTGGCGTTACACTTGGTGCACCTAGGCTGTCCACACCCTTGGGGGCCGTGGTGGAGAAGATGGTGGTCTGGGTAAAAGCAGTAAAGTTCTGTGCTGTTCTGGCCGCAGGTGGTAAGCGTGACCGGCGTTCTTCCAGTCGCAAGGTTCCCCACGGCAGGATTGCAGGAGTGCCCATCGCATCGAAAGGCTCGTAGCTTCGCTGAATCTGCAGTGCGAGCAGCAGGGAACAAAATGATACAAAACTGCATAAAATCAATATTCTGCACCATTGTGGATCACCCAGTCCCTCCCCAGCCCTGGATTCCCTACCAAGCACTTAACACCATCATTAATTATTATTATTATTTGTATTGATTGTTTGCTTTCTGCAAAACAAAAACAAAAAAAGTCTCAAAGAGACTTATGGCCCATCCATCAGTTTCACTTAACCCAAATTTGATGGCATTGTGTACCAATTGATTTTCCTGGGTCTGAGACATATTCTCGTTCCACAGCTGTGCCTTGCGAAAATCCGATCCTACCCACTGAATCGGGTATTATCAAATGTGCGGAAAAGCCAAAAAGAGATTTTGCTTAACCAAGCATCAATTTGGCTGATAAGATCAGATATTTGCAAGGAACAGTTGTGAAATGAGAAATTAATTGGCAAATTAATTGGTGCACAATACGATCATAATGCAAGTCAAGCTTGCCAGTCATTTAAAAACAAATACAGAGGATAAAATACAGCAGGATAAACATTTCTAAAAATGTCTTCGTACAGATCTACCTTCTGCGTCTCAAATCATTGTTTAAAAAAATGATGCGTGCATTGAGTGAAACCCTTTGCTATGTAGAAGAAGAACGTGCATAATTTACTGGGGCTGTGAGACATCCTGAAAACAGGGCAGGGTGACAGAAAAAGGAGAAAATTGGAGCGCTTGTACCATGAGTCACACAGCACACACACACAAAATTGCTATGAGAAGCAGCTGCCAGCAGGAGGAGCAAACTAGAGAGGCCCCCACATGGCCACACTTAGGGCAACAGTCCAAAGACAGTGGCAGCCCAGTGGTACTTCATGTAGCTGCTGATAACAAGACCTGAATGCTTGAACTTGCCCTGAGAGAAAATGACCAAGCCCGCCTCGACAGTGCCATAAAGCCATCAGAAGAAATATTGCATCAAATGGCCCTAAGTGCATGAAATAATGAGTTCCATTAATAAATACAAGTGGGAAGTAGCAAAGCAGTAGTTGATAGCTCCGTTCTAAAGGTAGTCAAAATCAGAATTCACTTCCAGTTTTTCTACCCAGAGGCTACATATCTTCTGTTCCTGTTCCAAATCCATTTCCATGCTCATTTCCATTACCTCCGTCACAATTTCACAGGATGCTTCTGCTGCAGGATATCATGCTGAACTAGGGCCTCTCACGGTTCTATGGCTTTATTCTTTTCATACCTACAGAAAGTTTTTTTAAAAGGCAGAACACACTATTTATGTCTAAAGTGTATCGACTAAAATTTGTGGGTTGGATTTAAGGTTTTTGGAATTGGGGAGAGGGAGAACAGCTAATTGTCTTCTGCAGTTGATGGTGCAAGCACTGGAGCACCCTCTTCTCAACCTGGTGCTCTCCAGATGGTTGGGACTCCAGCCCCCATCAGCCCCAGCCAGCAAGAACCATGTTCAGGGATGATGGGAGCTGTAGTCCAGCAACAGGCTGGGGACGGCTGAACTAGTGGAAGAATCCCATAGTGGTTCTCAAATGTCTGCTTGTGGAAATGGCAGCACCTCTTTGCATTTAGGTTCACTTTTCTTGCACGGTCCTCTAGCCCAGGGGAAGGCAGACTTCAGCCTTGTGGGATCTACTCTGTGTTTCACTAGAGATCTAACAACCAGAGCCAGGTGCAAAAGGAACTGAAGAACTTAGAACTGAAGAACATGAGTGCTCTGAACTTGCAGTGTGATCAGGGATTTATTCTAAGTATCAGAACTGAACCGAGTTCTGCACACTAAAATCCAAGTCTGGTTCCTCCAAGCTTTTTTTTTCTTTCCCATTTCAGCAGTGCAACTTGCGGTGGTGGGAGTCATTGTGCTGTTGCCATTGTCCAACCACTGCGAGTCAGAAACCCTTGCTGCTGTGCTGCAAATCACCAATGGATCCCGATCTACTTCCCACCTTCTTCTGCTCCAGCATGAGCTGTAAAACAGGTCTTGGGTGATCAGCTACGCCTTTCCCCCGTGCAGAAGGGAACCTTTGGGTCTAACCCAAGAACTATGGAATTGCTCTGTTTGCATGGCTCTGCTTCAAAAGTAGACTTGCCCTGGTTTCCAATGAATCCTCAGAATGCAAGAATGACAGGAGATGAATGCAGATGACGCTCGCCCCATGGCTCAAAATTAAAATGGAAATCTGCTTCTTTTCATTCCTAGAGATGGAATCGGAAAGCATCCCACTGCCTGTCTCTCTCTCCTCCACTCCCCCCACCACCAATTTTCTAAATGCATTTTATGGAGCAGGCAGAGTGGGGAAGAGCACAGTTGGCTTTCTAATCAGTGGTGATGACAAGGAGGCTTATCTGCTGTGCCTGCTAATGCAGCAACATCAATAAATGGTTCCTGTCTGAACTGCTGTGTCATTAGGAACGGCAGAGTAGGAGAGCACATGTGACAAATGAGTGGAGAGGGGGGTGGGTGGGAAGAGCCAGATCAAAATCTGCAGTTGATTAAGAGTCTTGCATTGGAAGCAATTAATGTGCCAATAAGGCAGCCCATCCATCACTTGGTTTATTTCTCTGAAACGCGAGGTCATAGAAGTGGGGCACGGCGGGCAAAGGGGCAGAGCATTCCGGCAACCAGGGACTTACCCTGAATGCCAAAAGGGACTCCTTGAATAATTCATGCAAGGCTAAACAATCAAGGCTGCAGTGTGCCCTCCTCCTCTCGCTCCCAGGGGGCTGTATGTCACCGAGGTGGATGGTGCCTGGCTCTTGATAGATGGCGTTGCGCAATAATCAATGCCACTCAGCTATTTATGCATTTACCCTGCTATCCCAGGGGAGTCGCTCAGCAAGGTGGCTGTTTGTCGGAGGGCTTCTGGCAAATGTTTGGAGCATCTGGCAAGTGACATAGTCATCGAAAAGCTGGGCAAACCTTTCAGATGGCTGATGGCTGAGAGCAGATTAGCTGGTTTGGGATGTGGTATACACATGGCATTGGTGGCGCTGTGGGTTAAACCACAGAGCCTAGGACTTGCCAATCAAAAGGCTGCCGGTTCGAATCCCTGCAATGGGGTGAGCTCCCGTTGCTCGGTCCCTGCTCCTGCCAACCTAGCAGTTCAAAAGCACATCAAAGTGCAAGTAGATAAATAGGTACCGCTCTGGCGGGAAGGTAAACGGCATTTCCGTGCACTGTTCTGGTTCGCCAGAAGCGGCTTAGTCATGCTGGCCACATGACCCGGAAGCTGTACGCCGGCTCCCTCGGCCAATAAAGCGAGATGAGCGCCGCAACCCCAGAGTCGGCCACGACTGGACCTATTGGTCAGGGGTCCCTTTACCTTTACCTTTATACACATGGCATTAGCCACAATCCAGATCTAGGAAAATACTGTGTTTTGATATGCTTGCCCCCAAACCAGCTTCAAACCACACTGAGAAAAAGAATGACCCAGCTGCATTTTAAGTCAATAGTGTGTGCTCATAGCCTTACCGAGTTCAGCTGGCTGCATGTGGGTTGAAAAGTGGGTCTGCAGCAACCTTTGCATGATATACTCAAAGTGCCACATGTTCCAAGCTAGTAGTTATGCAAACCCATCCTTTTTCGATGTTTCAAGTTAGTGGGTCTGCCCTTGCTATTGAGCGCCTCTCACCCATTGATGCCATGTTATGAAATAAGAAAAAAACCAAACCAAACCACAGGCAGTATGGAAAAATAAATAAACCAGTATATAGGGTAGACTGGGCAGGTTTCTTGCTCCACTGAAAGAGTGGAATGCCACTGGAAAGCACTTTAAATTCTTTACTAGAATTTAGTAAAGTGTATTTTACACAAAAATACATACACATGTGGCATAACTATTCTGTGTTAAGGGATCCTGACTAGGCACTCTTGCTTAAGGACAGAAGAAGAAGAAGAGTTTGGATTTGATACCCTGCCTTTCACTCCCTTTAAGGAGTCTCAAAGCGGCTAACATTCTCCTTTCCCTTCCTCCCCCACAACAAACACTCTGTGAGGTGAGTGGGGCTGAGAGACTTCAGAGAAGTGTGACTGGCCCAAGGTCACCCAGCAGCTGCATGTGGAGGAGCGGAGACGCGAACCCGGTTCCCCAGATTACGAGTCCACCGCTCTTAACCACTACACCACAGAAGAAATGTACTGTATTGCTGAATTACCATAGTTAAGGTCAACCTAGCCCTGCAATGATGATGATGATGATGATGATGATGATCATTATTATTTATTTATATGCCACCCATCTGGCTGGGCTTCCCCAGCCACTCTGGGCGGCTTCCAAAAAACATTAAAATACTGTAATACATCAAACATTAAAAGCTTCCCTAAACAGGGCTGCCTTCAGATGTCTTCTAAAAGTCTGGTAGGTGTTGTTCTCTTTGACATCTGGTGGTCCCAGTAACCAGCAGATGTTAGGTGAAGCATTGGAAATTGGCTAGCAACATACCAGTGGAGTGAATCATAGTCTACTTTCTGCCAATCTTCCTCTGTGCTGTCAGAAGAATCTCTTCCAAGTATGTATGTTCACTGGAAGTAGGCATCCATGACCTTACTGCTCCCATTCCTAAAAAATCTTATATGCAAAGAATTGGGCAGATCCAAACTATGGCTCATCGCGATCAGTCGGCTTCTCCTTCATCCTCTTGGATAGGATGTTGATAATGGTATGTTCTCCAGGAGTACTGCCAGGGCCACCACTGCTTCTGAAGAACTGCTGAGATCAAGCACATTTGCTATATAGCATGGGTGTAGTTGGGGGGTGCAGGAGTGCTGCTGCCCTCCAATATAAAGTATATACTGTAAATAGAAATACTTAACTAACTGACCAATTGCATTGCAGATATCTTGGTTCTTCCTCTCCCCAACATAAAGCCTGCCTCCCGCCGCCAAATAAATCATGGCAACACCCATGGTACATAGGCTCCTGTTGTCACACTACACCCATGGTGAGGATGCTTCATGTTCCGTTTGAGAGCAATGGAAAACCAGGGGAGTCTTTCTACAACCAACTCTTTGAGAAAAGAGTTGCTGCTGCTAGTTTTAATTCTAAACGGTGCAATGGAAAAGCTCTTTATATATGTCCCTTCCTCTTTATATATACATTTTAGTAGGCTAATCTGTTCCATGAAGTCTAACTCCTTAAAGCAGTCTGCCTCTTCCCTTTCTCCCTTTCCTTTATAACTGCTGAAATGCATAGGCTCTTTGAAATGGTAATCTTTCTTGTTTGCTGATATAATTATGCAATGCACCATGTGTCCCGTAAAAATTCTAATTGCCTTTTGAAGGCATTTAAATGGGTGGCCATCAACACATCTTGTGGTAACAAATTTCATAGTTTATGTGCTACTGTGTAAAGAAGCTTCGGGGGGGGGGGGGGAAATCGCTCAGCCTTTACCAAGCTGGTGTCCTCCAGATGTTCTTGGGACTTCAACGCCCATCAGTCATGAGAGTTGTAGCCCAACAACATCTGGAGGGCATCAGATTTGTGAAGGCTGACCTAGCTAATATTGGTAAGAGAGGTAAGAGCAGAAGATGGGATTTACTACTCTATAGTGAGGGACACAGGTGGTGCTGTGGGTTAAACCACAGAGCCTAGGACTCACTGATCAGAAGGTCGGCGGTTCGAATCCCTGCGATGGGGTGAGCTCCCATTGTTCAGTCCCAGCTCCTGCCCACCTAGCAGTTCGAAAGCAAGTCAAAGTGCAAGTGGATAAATAGGTAACGCTCCGGCGGGAAGGTAAACGGCGTTTCTCTGTGCTGCTCTGGTTCGCCAGAAGCAGCTTAGTCATGCTGGCCACATGACCCGGAAGCTGTACGCCGGCTCCCTCGGCCAATAAAGCAAGATGAGCGCCACAACCCCAGAGTTGGCCATGACTGGGCCTAATGGTCAGGGGTCCCTTTACTAGTGATATAACACCTAAGCTCTGTCCAGGTGTTCAGCCCTCTCTCCCAGTATCCCAGTCCATGCCTGCTTCAGTCTAAGGCCTTTGCATGCTGAAGAAGAAGGTCCGAAGAGGTCACCTTTGAATATTTGGCTAAATATGGTCAGAATCAGCCATACAGTGATGCCACACATTTTTGGTGTGTGTAGAAAAAGCAGCATACAAAACAAACGAATGAATGGATGGATGGATCTGTGGTATCACTTAACATAGAAAGCTTATGATATGAAGTAGCATAAACTAAACTTATCTTGAGAGCTCTTCTTCCCAGTGGAGACTGTAGGGTATTTAAATGTAGAATGGGAAAGTGAGGTTGTTTAAAGCTTCACCACAAACTGCTGAAATATAAGCCTACTATCTAACCTCTGAAGGAGGCATATAACCAGAATGCTAGCTTATTTCTTAGTTCACAGCCCTCTGATCTAATCACCTCTCTCCTATTGCCTGATTTACCCTTTCACCCTTAAAGAAATATTAAAATGGATCTGAAATGGTTTCCCACTTTTCACTGGTCACCTCCTCTGCTTCTGCTTTGTTTGAGGGAAGTGAGGGGGGAATTACTGCAGCCAAACATATTTAACTGTGTGGAAACAGCCGTGCTACTTAGTCTAGTAACCAACTACTGTAGCATGGTCCCAATGATATCAACCATTCATCCCTCAATTTCTGATTGTCAGTCTTTCAGCAATACTATATCATTATTGTACAAAAGCTTTGCATCCAGTGGGATCAAGCAGGGAGAGCCAGGGTTTGGTCATAAAAACATAAGAAGAGCCTGCTGAATCAGGCCAATGGTCCATCTAGTCCAGCATCCTATTCTCACAGGAGCCAACAAGATGCCTAGAGGAAGCCCACTAGCAGGACCTGAGCACAACAGCACTCTTCCCCTGCTGCAATTCCCAGCGACTGGAGTTCAGAAGCATGCTGCCTCCAACCATGGAAGCAGGACATAGCCATCGGGTCTAGTAACCACTGGTAGCCTCATACTCCCTGAATCTGTCTAATCCCCTTTGAAATTTGTTGGCCATAAGATCACGAAAGGGTGGAGCTATGCAAATAAGGCCAGGCTTGATTCTCAGTGGCTGAGGTCATCCGAGTCACTAGGGTCAGTGAAGAGGTTTTAGCTCTCAACACAATGCAGTCCCACAGTGGCACATCTTCAATAACATCTGACAGTCCAGGACAGAGTAACACAAACCTTGCAAGGCATGCTACTCCTAATGTATGAAGACTGGGCAGTTTCTAACTTTATATAGCTGCTAAATGTTAATATGGTAACACATTTTACACTGGTTACAGGATAAAGGGGAAATGGCTGAAAACAAAGTGGATCAGGGGTAATTTTATCATTGCCGTGTATGATTGATGGAAAGTGACAACAATTCTGATGAGAATAGATAATGGGAGAAGCCACTGTCTGATGCATTCATCTGTTTCATAATCTGTCATCTATTGTACATCACAAGATTATGTTATGCTTTTCACTAACACAAAACCAAACTACTAAACGCTTCCCTTTGCTTGCCATCGCTGAGTTAAAAAGCAAAACACTCACACCAGTTTTACTGGATCGTAGAGCTGTTGAACAAACGGGAAAGAAGAAGGAACAGCCAAGCTAAGGGGTATAATCCACCACCCAATGTAATCATTGGCAAGAAGGGGTGGGGGGGTTGCATCCTATCTGTTGTTTCAACAGAACCAAACTAGCAAGCATGGGCTATGAAGCTGTATATAGACAGAAGAGGCAGCCTGGTGTGCTGCAGCAGATAGAAAGCTGTGCAGAGATCTGGAGTTGAAAAAATGCAGCTGAATGGAATTTGGATATATTTGAAACTTCATACATGCACCTTGATATCTAGGTTTTCACAAGTATATTTGAGAACCAGGAATTCCCCTTGATTGCCTCTCAACAATTTCCTCTACAATTTGAGTATCATGGTCAAAACTAGCATAGCCTGCCCTACTGTTTGGTAGAGTAAATGGACTCCTTGCTTTACAGGTGTTAAAGAGCATCAAATTGGAGTTCCTTTCCTTTCTTACTCAATGTTTACAACAGGCCTACTATCACCATGCGGATTTCCTTGCTCAAGAGCCATACTGTCTGAAAACTAAGCCACAATCGGGCTTCACCTAATGCAGCTCTGTGTATGAGGAGAGGATCCCCACAGCCACTGAGCTCTTGCTACTGCTGCGCCAACCGTCGGCCAATATGCCCACCTACTCTTAATGATAAGAGGCTCTATCCACTCGTCTCTTTAGGCTCATAGAGTGCTGACCACGCCCACAGAAGTGGTACCGGCCAATGAAAAGTGGGGGAGGGCTTGTGTTCTTGGGAATGGCTAAGTGCATTACGGTACACTCACCCTAGTGGCAACATATCCCCTTGCAGGTGGAGGTGGTGGGGCTCTAGCTCAATGTTTCTCAGCCAGGGGCCATATGGCCCCTGGGGCCCCCAGTATATTCCAAGGGTGCCCCCAGGTGCAATTATATAATTATAAAAATTATAAATAGAAGATGTTCTATTTACAAACAAAATAGCTACCTTACTACCAGTAGGGCATGGGAGGCCACATGAAGGAAACAAGGTCATGGTCAGGAAAAAAGATTGAGAAACAGTGCTCTTGCCAAGCTCTTGCTTTGCATGCAGAGGAACTCAGGTTCAGTCCCCTGCATCTCCAAGTGGGTTTGAGAAAGAAATAAACAACTATCTGACTTTTAGAAGACATCTGAAGGCAGCCCTCTTTAGGGAAGTTTTTAATGTTTGATGTTTTATCACTTTATTATTATTAATAATAATAATAATAATAATAATAATAATATTCTGTTGGGAGCTGTCCAGAGTGGCTGGGGAAACCCAGCCAGATGAGCAGGGTATAAATAAATTATTGTTATTGTTATTGTTATTATTAGTCCTGGCTGGAGAGCCACTGGTGGTCAGTGTCAAGCAGACATCTCTGTGCAACATGGGCTAGCTATGGTATGACTCTGTAGAAGGCAACTTCCTATGTTCCTGAACAACTTGTAATGCCAAAAACATGACTGCATCAAGTGTTTTGGGTCACAAATTGTGAAGGACCATTGTTATCCCTCCTTAGATCATTGAGGAGCGACACCACCCATAACTCAGCACATGCCATTATTCCTGTGTTTGGTTTCTAGCACATCCATGTCAGGTTGAGCAAGAACTCCTGTCTGACATCCTGGAGGCCTGCTGCCAGTCAGTGTAGATAGCACTGATGTAGACCCATCAAGGGCACAGCCTCATGCTTACAGACAGGAGCACACTGGAGTGGTTCTACATGCAGATGGGAGGGGATGGTTCATGCTCTATGTCAATAATGCATCTCAGTCCTCACCAGAGAGGGTTAGAAACATAGATATGCTCTTCCTGAGAAACAGTGCATATTGGTGAGCGAGACACGTTTTGTGGCATGAGTTGAAAGTTGCTCTTATTAGGATATGTTTATTCCCAACACTATCCTATGCGCTAAGTCCAAACTCCAAGCACTGACATGCACATACGTTATACACCCAAAGTCACAGCCCATCTCAAGTACTTGCAGGCAGACAGCGCGCTGAATATTGAATCATAACTCTCAATCTTGTGTGGCTCTCCTTATAGCAGAACCAAAAAATTCTTGCATAAGATTTCACTGTTGAAAAAACCATTCCCAGTAATCCCATTTCAACCTGGTCTGAATCCCAGTGCAGCATGGTTCTGGGAGAATTACCTTTCTCTGTGCCTCAGTTTCCTGGCTTTGAAATGGGAACAACCGGGACTTAGGCAGGGATGAGACACAGGTATTGCCAGCCTCTGGACTCGGTGACAGAGTGGGCTATACATCTAAAGAAAAAACGGACGGCTTCTCCTCTTCCTACAAATAAACACTCGGAAGAGGCTTTAAAGCTCTCCCCCATCATTGATTGGGAACCTAGGCGTAATTCCGCTTACCTGCTCCAGGATGGCCAGAAATAATATACTCCAGGAATACGATCAGCGTTATGCTTTTATGCTGCATGACTCCGCCTAGGAAATCCATCTTCTCCGGAGGCACGAGGGTAATAATAATAATGATGATGATATTTCTACAAGCTTGGTGCCCACATGACCTTTCTTTTCGGGGCGGGGGCAGAGCAGACAAAACAAAAACACTTTCCTTCAGGGCAGCGATGACTGCGGGCTCCTCGTGCTTCCCTTTCCCTGAAGGGGTGGGTGGGAACCCGCCGCGCGTGTCTCTGTGTATCTTTCCTCTCTCTCTCCCCTTCGGATCTAAGGCGCGCTTCCCAGCTCCGCGCCCGCTTCGCCTCCCCCGGCGCGTCCACCTCAGCCGCCCATCGCCTCCCAGTGGATTCAGGCAGAGCGCTGGCTGGCTGCTTCGAGATAGAGCCCCTTCGCCCCCTCCCCGCTTCGCCCCCCCGGAGACGAGGTGAAGTTCACACGTCTGGCACAGCAAGCCGAGCGGAGCAAGCCTAGTCCTCCTCCTCCTCCTCCTCCTCGCCCGTCGACCTTTCGCAGGGTCAAGGCGGCGACGCGCCTCGGAGGGCGAAAGTTCCCTCGGAGTTCGCTCAACTTTCGATTTCACTTCGGACCTTCCCTTGGCCGCCCGAATGTTTCCACTCGGCTCTCTTCCTCCTCGCGCCGGACTGACTCGCGCTTTGGCGCTCCTCTAACGCGAGTGCAATCGAGGGCAAAGCAACCGCCTTTGTTTTGCCACCCTCTCACCCCCCAACCACCCCCTCCTCGGTCGCCCAAGCCCGGCCTTCTCCCCCACCCCCTTGGGACTATCGCCGGTGTCTCAGAGGCGATCCTATGTATTCCACCGGCTTTAAAAGAAAATGTATTATTATTATTATTATTATTATTATTATTATTATTATTATTATTATTACTACTACTAGTAGTAGTAGTAGTATTCAGGGCAGCTCAGGGCTTGGGTGGCTTTTGTGGGGATTGGTGAATAGCCCCTTCCTTCACTTTCAGGTGCCTTGGATCAGTGCCTTCTATAAAATAAAATAAAAAATGACGATGAGCTAAAATTTTTGGGAGGCGAGGCTTCTTTGCGCCGAGCTGCTCGCGTCTCTCCAACCCCGCGGCGATCGCCTCTGCCGGCCACCTCGGTCCCCTCTAGCCCCGTCTGGCTGCAAAAGGGATTATTCTGACATGTGATCCTCTTCCTGTCCTTTGATACGTGTGCGTGTCTGTGTTTTGCATCTCACTTGCGCACTCCTTCGGCTGCTTGCGCCGCTTTCCAGACGCACGTGTCCGCGTTTGCTCGCAGAGCCTCTCCTTTCCCCCACTTCGCAAGAGCCCGTCAAGCCTCCAGCTCCGACGCTGCTCCTGTCCTGGGCCTTTAAAACCAAATGCCCGGCGGGGAAAGCGCTCCTTCCTCCGTCGCTCCCCCCTTCGCACCGGCCAGGCTCGGGGTCGATTCGTGTCTCCGCAGCGCCCCCGTCAGGTATAACGGCCAACAGCAGCAGGCGCCGTCTGCGCATAGCACCGAGGCGGGCAGGCGACAGAGGCAAAGTGGTCCAGGAGGAGGAGGGTTTAACAAATTGCTGCTGTGATCGGACATGTGCTGTCCTGCTTAGTGGCTTCGACCACTAAGGATGGATGCTGATTAACGAGCAGCGTTAATAACCTGCCAGAGCCTGTCTGGGAGGAGAAGCAGAAGTTGGATTTAAGCAGGGAAAAGTAAGATTGAATTTTTGCAGCTGGTTGGAAACGAAGCAATGCTTTGGCGGACTGGTTGCAGTGCAGGCTGGGGTTTCTCCATCCCCCTGGGGTTTACAGGCTCATGCAAAGCTATTTTGCTGCCAGAGGCAAAACAGTATATCACTTCCCTGCTCCAAGTCAAGGTGTGTCCTTCCCAAGGCCAGCCAAGGTGGGGTTTTTTGTTTGTTTGTTTGCATCTGAGACAGAATACCCCACAAGTGTCTTTGCAAGTGAAGTACATAACCATTAGCTGCCCTTTCATGATATTGAAACTCAGCCCAGCCCTTTAGAACTTTTTATTCAGTCCTCCGTGTTTTCAGTTCTCCTTGCAACGTTCCAGAAGGAGAGCCAGGACAGTCTCTTACAGCAAAAAGACGAGAGGTGTCCTCAGCCACTTTTGCGTATGGAGACAGATTTGGAAATGTAAGAAACTGTTGTGGGCATTGCCAAATACCCACATCATGGTGTTGTTGTTTAGTCGTTTAGTCGTGTCCAACTCTTCGTGACCCCATGGACCAGAGCACGCCAGGCACTCCTATCTTCCACTGCTTTTTAAGATGCTGTCTAGGCTTGTCATTGCTTTCCTCCCAAAAAGCAGGCGTCTTTTAATTTCGTGACTGCTGTCACCATCTGCAGTGATCATGGAGCCCAAGAAAGTAAAATCTCTCACTTCTATTTGCCAGGAGGTGATGGGACCAGTGGCCACGATCTTCTTTTTTTGATGTTGAGCTTCAGACCATATTTTGCGCTCTCCTCTTCACCCTCAATAAAAGGTTCTTTAATTCCTCCTCACTTTCTGCCACCAAGGTTGTGTCATCTGCATATCTGAGGTTGTTGATATTTCTTCCGGCGATCTTAATTCCGGCTTGGGATTCATCCAGCCCAGCCTTTCGCATGATGAATTCTGCATATAAGTTAAATAAGCAGGGAGACAATATACAGCCTTGCCGTACTCCTTTCCAACAAACTGGTGGTGCTCAGAACTGCTTTCAAAAATACCTCCCCGTGCCCCTGCAAAGTGATAAAACTCCTGTGCCACTGTGACAAAAAGGATGTTGGACTGGATGGGTCATCGGCCTGATTCAGCAGGCTGTTCATATGTTCTAACACAGGCAACAACAACAAAAGCCTCACACTGAACAGAGAAGCCCCTTCCAAGCAATGAACAACAACAAAGGCCAACCTTTGTTTTTTAATTACAAATAAATAAATAAGGGGCAGGGGATCTTGGCAGGCACCAAGTCTGTGCGGCCAGGGGCAAAAGTGGGAGAGCAGTTATCTGATTTTCACACTCACCCTCTCTAGCCTTCACCCAGATAAGCAGAAGGCATTATGAGAGCTCAAGGTCACCTTCCTGCTGGGCACAAATATTTGGGGTGGGAAGCAGGCCAGTGATGAGTGTAGCCTGCAGAGAGAGGTTGTGGCCTGGGAAGAGTATCTAGGGCCAGATACAGAGGCCCTAGAGGGCCACTACCATGCCCTGCTGACTTGAGGTTCCCCCACCCCTAGCTTACCCACAGTCACGAAATGTTTCCACAACTATGCGTGTGGTTATGTTTGCATGTTGCATACACACATACTGATCACTGTTCCCTGCTGTGGTCCTTTCCCGTCTTCTTGCTGCAACACCATAAAATACATCACTGCATTATACCCATTTTACAGAAGGTGTGTCAATGCTGAACGACAGGAATTTCATTAAGGCTACCCAGTGAATCTGCAGATTAGGTGGGGTTTGAACCCTAGTTTCTATATCTTCCCAAGCAGTCTGTTTATTGGGTCACATTACGATTTCCACAACTCTCTGTTTTTAGCCCCTGAGTGTCTGTATCACCAGAACTGATTGCTGCCTACTGGAGCCATAAAGTGGATTTTCTAATCTCTTTCTGCAATAGTTCTGACTGACTGCATGAGTGGGACATATTCAGGGGCAAAATTTCCACCAGCCATTCCTTTCTTTCCTTTCTTCATTCCTTTCTTCTAGTCAGATTTCCAGGCCTGCAGCCCTCTGATAACAGGCTTATTGTCCCCACCCTCGGCAAATGTGCCTTTGACTTAATTCCCTGATCTGCAAAAATATTTCATTCTTTTCTTTCTCTTCCCCAAGGCATTTGTGGGTCGTGTGTGTAAGGCCTAAGATAGTAGCACTTCACTTCTGCTTTGGTTCATCTGAGTTCTCCCCCCTCTGCCCACCCCATTATGCATGTTTTCATCACTGGGGCTGGTGGGGGTGAATTAGGAAGGTGTGCTCTTACTGTGTAAAAGGCATATTATTCTAGCATGTGTGAGAGATCTGTACTAAAATATGATGGTCTGGAAGTGCCTGATAAGAATAAGTTAAATAATCAGCAATTTGACACCCCAAATTGACTGACTGAGGCAGCCAAATGAATGGAATAGGATAGTTGTGCCTTTCTCCTCTATGAAGCCAGGCACATATTGAGATCCTCTTCAGAGTCCCTCCCCCTCCTCATGATCAGAGAAGCAAGGGGCTTGCCTTAGGACAGGGGCTTCTCAAAGGTGGCCCCAACATTATAGAAATCTCTCCTGAGGAGAGTTCACATTGCTCCTTCAAATGCCTGGAAAGGGCTGCCTTGTTTTAGAGCAATTTGGAGCTTTTGTCATTATGTTATGCTACTGCTGTATGGCTCCCATGATTCTTTGTAGACTTACATGTTGGTGTCAGTTTTATAGGACATTTTGTTGCTGTGATTTTAAAACATATATATGTATGTTTCATCACCTTATTGTGAATTTTACCTGTTGTAAAGCTCTGCTAGTGATTACTGGAACCCAAAGGTGGTAAACAGAGGATTTAATAACTAGTGGAGCCCACCCTGTGGAACGCCCTCCCATAAGATGTCAAGGAGATAAATAACTCTACAACTTTTAGAAGACACTTGAAGGCAGCCCTGTATAGGGAAGTTTATAATGTCTGATGTTTTGTTATGCTTATATATTTGTTGGAAGTCACCCAGTCAGATGGGCAGGGTACTACTACTACTACTACTACTACTACTACTACTACTACTACATTAAGGCCCACAAATGAAAACACGCAAATACGAAGATTTGATTTTTTTGTCAGATTGTAGAATCTTTTAAACTTGACACACACTGCTGTGTCTTTCAGTTGGTTCAAAACCTTGCAAAACCCACCAGGCCCCTCAGAGTAGTGAATGTGTGTATGTGCAAAGTACATAAGCTTGCTGAATGTGGTTCAAAGTAACAGGGCCAAAAGCATGCGCAAAGAACGGCCAGAGAATAATCAGTAGGCCTGTGAATTATTCTTTAGGAGGAGGAGGCAGGAGAAGCCAATAGGATTGTGGAGACTGAATAGGTGTGTCTGACAGGCATGGTGTCTTTTCTCCAGAGAACTGGAGGTGTACATACAAAAGCCAGTGAGCAGCTTGCTTTCATCAGGGGTCACCTCAAAGTTGCTGAAGATCCCCCAGGACTCTCCAAAGAGAGCCTCTATCTTCTGTCTTGCCCCTCAGGCAATAGCTCTCTGTGAATGATCTTCTTCCTCTAATTACAACCTCACAGAAGCCATGTCCAGCCTGAAAGAAATTTGTGGTGGGCTTCCCTTGAACCCTCTTCCAGAGAACAGGGGCCGAAAGAGTGGAATCCCTCATGCTCCCGTGAGGACTCCCAACCTGGATTCTCATGAAGAAAAGGTAAGAACATTTGCATGGAATCTCTTTGGGTGCCCACACCAGTTTAAACCCACCAGAACTTCAGCCTTTGCTGGTCTGTGGCATCCCAGTTCCCCAAAGGTACAGGAATAAAAATATTCACTGTCAGAAACTGGTTATAGAGACACATGTTGCCTAGGCAAAAGAGGAGACCATAAGCAATCATCATGGTCCTTCTGTTATCCCTCAGTGAAGCAAATAAAGCGTGAAGTACTTTTGTCTGCTTAGTCATTAGACAATAGATTTAGTTGCTTATTTTTAAACATGTCTTTCCACAAGTAGAGCCCAGTCCTAAATAACGCTTGTGCATGTTCTAGGGGAACAT